TCTGTAATAATTTTACTTTTGGCGGACACCGCTAGTATACTATGTTTTGCGATCCTAGAACTCTTTCTTGCATAGTTAATACTTTTGGCAGACACCAATTTTTTATAATATATATATATCTGTAATAATTTTACTTTTGACGTACTACCGCGAGTACGCTATGTTTTGGATCCCTAGAAAGCTTTCTCGCATAGTTGATGCTTTGAATACTACCACTTTATGTAAAAAATTGACCTATGCTTTGTCGTTTTACTATCAAAAAATTGGATCATACTTTTACGTACTACCGAATCAAAAATTTTGTTTACCGCCAGTAGTACGCCAAAGTATAATTTTTATATATTAATATTTTTCTGTAGTAATTATACCTTGACATACTACCACGAGTACGCTATGTTTTACGCCTCTGGAAGCCTTTCTCGTATGGTTGATGCTTTGACGTACTACCTTTACGTATTACTGGATTAAAAAATTGGATCATACTTTTGCATACTACCGAATCAAAAAATTCCTGTAAAAATTTCTCTCTTTGATGTACTTACCTTTACATACTACCGAATAAATACTTTGGGTTACTATCAATTTGTTCTTTTTTTGACGTACTACCGAATCAAAAAATTTATTCTTACTTTTGCGTACTACCACATCGAAAAATTTATCGTACTTTTGCATACTACCAATTTTTATCTTGGTCAAAATCAGGCGACACAAAAATCCCCTATGTACGGTCCAGGTATTGAGGTATTATTTTTGCATTTGAATTTTTTTTATATTTTGGGTTACTACCGAATTGAAAAATTTGATAAAAAAGCGAAACCGGGATTATACATGGACTGAGTAGCTGAGAATTTATTACCTATTTGAATCTAAAAATATATTAAGTTCATAATCTATAGGATTAATCATTTCTTCTATTTCACATTCCAACCAGGGATGCAACCAGTCCTCACTATTAACATGTTTAATACGTTTTAATACATCGCCTCTTTCTCTTCTTCTGATT